TAAGAGTCCCCAACTAAGCAAGCCAGAGGCAACAGCAGCAAGGAACCGAAACTCCATTGGTGACAGAATGGAGAAAAAAAAACCTTGGGAGAAACCAGGCTCAGTCGGGGGGCCAGTTCTCCTCTGGCCAGACGAATACATGATATACATGACACAAAGGGCTTCAGAAGGGCTTCCTACTGAGGTAGAGCACTGGCTTTTAGGCTCCTTTGCCTTCCAAGTACCACTTCTGTTCTTTTGTCAGAGGCGTTAATTTGCATTGAGCTGGAGCGCATCTTTTCCTATATCATCTTAAATGTAATCTTACAGTCCTCTGTCCACCCTGTTCTTCTCAGTCCTGTATAGCAAATTCATCAATTTTGTCGATGTTGCTTTTGTTTCAAAAGTCTGGATGAATTGGCGGTATTAGCCCTTTAAACCAGAAAAGATTGTACCTCTTTTTTTGTCCTAGGTTAAACATTTCACCAGATAATTTCCATTTTGTCCACCTGCTGTTGTAGTTTACCATTGTCCAGATGGTACCCCAAATAACTGGTCTCCTGTTGCACCCTCTCACACTTTGCTTATAGAAATATATGCAGACCCATCCAATTCTTCTTCGGAATGATAACCAGATTGCTGATCCACTGTCTCATAGAGGTTTCCATCACAATCACTCCCAGCCATTTCAAATTTTCAGTGTCGCCTTTCTCACCTGTTGCTTGCCTATGCATAAATAGCTTTTATTGTTTATCTTGTTACTTTGTCAGTTGTTGAATGTCTTGTTGCCATTCTGACAGTGCTCTTTGTTGTTAGTTTACTTTGTCTTTTCATTAAAACATCCCTGCACTTAGATCCTTGTGGGTGGGTGGGTTAGGGTTGGGGGCTGTGCTTCTCAAGCTCCAGTGACTGCAGAGCTTCGGTCCCCATTTACACTATCAGCCTGCACCATCTCAGCTGGAGCTGTCTCAGGGGGAAGACACTGGCATCCCGTGTGGCCTCTCCAGCTCTGTGGCCTCTTCGCTCTCTAGCACTCTTCAGCTCGGTGGCCTCAGCACTCCCCAGTCAGGCAACGTCAGTGGCACCCCCCCAGCCAAGTGGTCTGAGCAGCTCCCACTGAAAGGGCTACAGCACTCGTTCTTCTTGATTTGCCCATGGAGTTCGTTCCTGGGCTTGTTACTCTGCGGACTTTTATTTTATAGTTTCCATTTTCTTTTTATTCTATGTTCACTTCCTGTGCTCCAAAATGATAATAGTAAATACTCAATTTTCAGTTAAAGGAGGTTCATCATTGAATTCAGTGATGTCATCATCCAGCTCAGTTCAGTTTAAATAGTGTCTGTGCTATCAAGTCGACAATATTGCAGGAAATTAAGAGTCCCCAACTAAGCAAGCCAGAGGCAACAGCATGAGACAGAAGTGCTAAGGGGAGAGATGCAGAGCAAACGGGTTAAATGAAAAGAGTTCCAGAAACTGAAGGGATATAGCTCACGTAGTGACTGCTTCTTGAGTCTTTCTCAGATCTGACGGATGATGACTTCAATGAAAACAGGTGGGTGACAGGTAGGAGTCCAGGTGAGTGAGTCAGGTAAGGAGTAGCGTAGTGAACTCAAGACCAGACAAAGTGCAACTGCAGTGACTGAGTATTTGAGCTAGTGTTGATGAGGTGGTGACAGGTGCGGCTGATTAGTAATCCGGTGATTGTGAACGGGTGTGTAGGGTGATTGGGCCTGACGAAGCTGGACTATCCCTGACAGTACCCCCTCCCCCACGGGCGGCTCCCGATGCCCGCTGCCGACATCGAGGATGGCCGCGGCCCCTGGGAGCGGGACGGTCTGGGTGAAGGTCATGGAAGTCTCTGAGGAGTAAGGGATCTAGAACATCGTCTCTACGCACCCATGATCTCTCCTCGGGGCCGAATCCCTCCCAGTCCACGAGATATTTCTAGGCGGCCTAGACGCCGAGAGTCCAGAAGAGAGTTGACTCAGTAGATGGTTTCTTCTTCAGCGATCTCGGGAGGAGGAGGTAAGTGGGATTCGTCAGACCCTGTGGGAGAAGCAGACAGAGGGTTAACACAGGGTTTGAGTAGAGAGACAGGGAAGGTTGGTGCTATACGGTAGTGTGAAGGGAGTTCAAGCCTGTAGGTGACGTCGTTGATCTGCCTCCTGATGGTGAATGGTCCAATGTAGCGGGGACTCAGCTTGTGGCAAGGCAGTCGGAGACGAATATCCCGCATCGATAACCACACCTTATCTCCAGGTTGGTATTGTGGAGCGGGTCAGCGGTGAACGTCTGCTTGGGCTTGGTGTCTCTGAACCGCCTGCTGTAGATGGACATGCACTGAGTCTCAGACCCTCTCGCTCTCTCTGAACCAATGATCAACCGCTGGAACGTCAGATGGTTCTCCCGTCCAAGGGAACAGGGGAGGTTGGTACATGAGTACGCACTGAAAAGGGGTGAGGCCGGTGGTTTGCTGCCTGAGGGAGTTTTGTGTGTACTCGGCCCAGGGAAGGTAAAGGCTCCAGCGGTTCTGGTTGTTGTGACAATAGCTACGAAGATATCTCCCGATCTCCTGAATTTTTCGCTCAGTCTGGCCATTTGATTGTGGATGATATCCGGAGGTGAGGCTTACTGATACTCCGAGGAGTTGGAAGGCCTGCCAGACCCGGGAGATAAATTGGGGCCCACGATCAGAGACGATGTCCTCAGGAATCCCGAAATTGCGAAAGACTTGATTGAATAACTGCATTGCTGTTTCCATGGCAGTAGGTAGTTTTCTGAGGGGGAGAAGTTTGCATCCCTTAGAGAATCGGTCGACAACTACGAGTATGCATGTGTAAGATTCGGACTCGGCGAGATCTGTGACAAAGTCGAGTCCGATGTGGGACCAGGGCCGGTGAGGTATGGGAAGTGGTACCAGTTTTCCTTGTGGCAGCTGACGGGGAGATTTGGTGATGGCACAGACTGAGCATCCTTGTACAAAACGTTTGACTTCTCTGGCCATATTGGGCCACCAGTAGCAGGTTTCGAGGAGCGAGAGGGTTTGCTGGCTGCCTGGATGTCCAGAGCCCGGAGAGAAGTGCAGCGAGTCCAGAAGGGTATTGTGGAGAGTGGATGGAACATAGACTTTCCCTTCTGGACCTCCCAGCGGAGCAGGTTCTGATTGGGTGGCTCGACGGATCTCTTCGTTCCACTGGATGGGACCCACAATGATGGCTGGAGGGAGAATAGTCTCAGAGGGTAGTAATCGTTCAGTGGAGCGGTACAGAAGGCCTCCTTCAGTCTTTCAAAACTCTCGAGGGCATCGGGAGTCCAGGACAGAGACTTGGGCTTGTTTCGGAGCATTGAAATTAAAACGGCGATGTTATGACTGAAGTGGTGTATGAAACGACGGTAGAACTTTGAGAATCCCAGAAAGCGTTGGAGTTCTTTAACGGTTTTGGGCTTTGGCCAGTTATGAATGGCTTGGACCTTCTTGTCATCCATCTGGATAACCTGGAGGCTGATCACATATCCGAGGAACTTGGTGGTGGAAAGGTGGAACTCGCACTTCTCCAGCTTGAGATAGGGGTGGTATTTTCTCAGCTGTTGCAGGACCTGCTCCACGTGATGGCGATGTTCAGCCAGGTTCTGGGAGTAGATGAGAATGTCGTCGATGTAAACGATCACAGAGCGATGAAGGAACTCCCGGAACACCTCGTTCATAAATCCTTGGAATACAAAAGGTGAGTTGGATAATCCATATGGCATAACAAGTTATTCATAGTGTCCATACGCCATAGTGGGCGTTATGAAAGCGGTCTTCCACTCGTCACCATGGTGGATACGAACGAGGTTATAGGCACTTCGCAGATCCAGCTTGGAGAAGATACAAGCTCCACGAAGTTCCTCCAGGGCAGCCGGCACTAGTGGAAGGGGATATGGGTATTTGACAGTTTGAGAGTTGAGAGTTCTGTAATCAATACAAGGCCGCAAGCCTCCGTCCTTTTTGCCCACGAAAAAGAAACTGGATGCTGCCAGTGATGTGGAGGGATGGATGAAGCCTTGCTGGAGAGCCTCCTTAATGTAGTCCTCCATAGCTCCTTGCTCCGGGATGGACAATGGATACACTCTACCCTTTGGGAGCTGAGCTCCAGGCAGCAAATCTATGGCACAGTCCCATGGCCGATGAGATGGTAATTTAGAAGCGGCCGCTTGCTGAACACATCCTGAAACGCCCGGTATTCCGAGGGAATGCTGTGAGGTTCGGTGGGTTCAGGGCTCTCTATGGAGGTAGCACAGACAGGGAGGAGACAAGGTGGCAGTGGACGAATTTTGGCCATACAGTTCAAAAGACAGTACTCACTCCATTGTAGAAATTCGTTGGTGGTCCAGTTAACTATGGGAGAGTGTTGGGATAACCAGGGGCGTCCCAGGATGATCTCCATGGTGGAATCCTCTAGCACCAGAAAAGACATGAGGTCCTCATGAAGGCACGCAATACGGAGTGTGATGGTGGGGGAGCATAATTGGATTTTACCACGACCCAATGGCTTTCCTTGGATGGAGAGGATATTCAGAACATGAGCATTCTTCAGCGGTTTTAGTTTAAGTCTTTGGAGTGTGTTGCGGGATATGAAGTTACCCAAAGAACCAGAGTCTACAAGGGCTTGCGCTGAAAGGGATGGGTGAGATGACATTAATAATACATTCATTCGAGTCAATGTAGCAATTTGAAGACTGAGCTGAATAGTACTCACCGTGGGTCGTGCTGGTCGGATAGGACATGAGCGAATCAAATGTCCATGCTCCCCACAATATAGACATAGCCCGGATGTAATCCTCCGTGTTCGCTCCGCATGGGTGAGATGGTACGAATCCACTTGCATGGGTTCAGGTGCTGGAGGCGGTGAGGCGGATGTGGGCGGTGAGGAGAGTGGCATGGCATTTTTACAGGCATGGAGATGTTGGGAGATTTTGATAGTCTTCTGAATGAAGTTTTCCATGCCCACTGTATCATTAAAAATCACCATTTGTAGACGAATGTCGGCATTAAGCCCTTGACGAAATGCGGTAAGTAAGGCCACTTCATTCCATCCACTAGTCACCGCCAGAGTGCGGAATTTGACGGCATACTCGCTCACTGAAACCGTGCCTTGACTGATGCGGAAGAGCTGATCATGAACAGAGATTTCCACGGCTGCGTGACCGAACACCTCCTTGAATTGGGATGTAAATGTCGATAGAGTGCGAATGGCCTGGCTGTTAACTTCCCACATAGACTGGGCCCAGCAAGTTAAATTCAGCTACGACAACTGCCATTAAAATGTGTTAAAAGCTTTCTATTCAAATATGTTTTACAAGTCAATGTTATTGTATTTGATGACTGTGTAATTTTAATGCAAATGAAAAAAAATAATTATTTTAGTTGACAACACAACGCCAGAATGCAAAATTTTATTTGTGATTAACAAGTGCAAATTTCACATTGAAAATGGAATGAATAACTTTACATTCAAATGGACTGGCAAGACAAGACTATGACTAGGAACTAAGGACTAGAAACTAGGGCAGGAAACTGGCTCCGTAATGTGCTACCACTAGGAGAGTGATATACGCAAACAATACTCGGCAGTTTGAAAAGGATCTGAGTGGGGGTAATATAGTGAGTGTGTGAAAGTCAGTGTAACGGAAGGGTGACCTCTGGTGGTGATCGAACGGAAGTCCATGGACAGGATTCGTGACATAGCCCCCCCCCAAGGAGTGGCTTCCAGATGCTCCTAAAACAGTAAAATCCAGGAAGGTGGTGGAGCGGACACGGAACGGGGGGGGGATGGAGGGCCAGGTCCACGAGGAAGTGGAGAGACCGGGGACTGAGGCAGAGTTGTCAGAGCAGAGCACCAAGGCAGAACTGGCAAAGCAGGTCCGAAGATCCCCACGGCGGAGCAGAAGACTACCAGAGCAGGACTGAAGACCACCAGGCAAGAGCAGACAGAGCAGAAGACCACCACGGAGGAGCAGAAGACCACCAGGCCGGAGCAGACAGAGCAGAAGACCACCATGGAGGAGCAGAAGAATACCATGGCCGAAGCAGACAGGACAGAAGCCCTCCAGGGTCGGAGCAGATGGGACAGAGGCCCACCAGGGCAGAGCAGGCGGAACAGAAGCCCACCATGGCGGAGAAGAAGACCTCCACGGTGGAGCAGACGGAGCGGGGACCCATGGCAGAGACTGGGGCCTAGGAAGAAAACAGAGACAGACAACACAGGCAGTGCATTCATGGTCTCAGGGACCGAGGCAGGGAACACAAGATGTTCATCAATAGTCCCCCTGGTGACCATTGAACGGGCAGACAGCTCACTGATTGAAACGGGATAGACAGACAGTTCACAAACAGGCTTAATGACTGGGACTGGCAAGGCAGATGGTTCAACAGGGAAAACAGAACAAGCAGTCTTTGAGAGTCAATGTAACGGAAGAGTGACCTCTGGTGGCGATCGAACGGAAGTCCATGGACAGGATTCGTGACTCCCGCCAAGCAATACGAAATACCTCTAGTTTTGTTTTCCTCCAGCTGCGCTCCATTTTCCGGGCTTTCCCTGCATTTATCACATGTGAATCCCTCATCGCCGACAAAGAGAGCTAAACTATACATGTGGCAAGCGGTGCAAACAATAATAGCAGGAGAAGAAGCCATTACTCACCGTGATTGAAGAATGACTCTGACTTACCACTGTTGTTTGATGAACTCTTGAAAAAACGGAGCGAGAGAGAAAAGAAACAGAGCGAGAGAAAAAAAGAAAACAGCAATAGACACGAATGGAAACACGAATAACAAGCTAACCACTAATGAATGCTAACGCGCTGCACGCTCGCTGCACTCGCTGTTTTAGAATAAAAGCGAATGATCAAATTAATCAGATTAGTTTGATAGATAATATCAGAAATATGGTGGGAATTAAGTTATATTTTATCACTTTAAACAACAGAGAGTGATAGTAAGATAGAGATTCAACAAAAAAGCAAAGCTACACAGAGCTACAATCACAAACCACTCAGCAGTACGGTACAAAGGAAACGGATACAATCACCCCTGCTCTGCCTCTCAGACTGTCTTATAAAATGACAGTCATATAAACATAAACAAAAGTACAACTAAAATGTCCCAGGCCTGGTCCTCTCTCGTCCTTTACTGTTGCACTTCTTTTATCCTTCCGGAGCTCATCTGCAGGACTCGAAATGCAGATGTTGCTAATTATCATTTTCTCCACTGGCCTTGCTCACTCCCACAGCTCTCGGCCCCACCCCACTCATCACAGATCTACCTTCTCCTCCCCATCATGGTGGACAGTAGCAGGTCTTGGACTCTGGTGAACAGCAACGACCCCTCCGTTGCCTGTCGGACTACAGCCGCCCCTCCATCCTCTAGCATGCTCTTGTTACTTTGTCAGTTGTTAAATGTCATATTGCTGTTCTGCCAATGTTTCCCTTTGTTGTTCTCGTTGTTCCTTGTTGTTAGTTTACTTTGCCTTTTCATTAAAACATCCTTGCACTTATGCTCCTGCATGTTTCCTGCTTCTCCCACAACATTACACCATGCACCCAGGACACATTTTCTCCTTCACTTCAGCTCCAGAGTACCACGTAGTAGTACCACGCCTAGCTTAAGCTCCAGTGAGAATATGTTAGTCTTGCAATAACCAAGTTTTGTTTACAGAAAAGGAAAACTTTTATACAGAAATCCTCCAACGTTTTTCTTTACAAATCCTCGTTTATTATTTGTGACCAGTGTGTTTCTCTTTCAATTTGGTGAAACTGCTCTATCTTATCCTGAGACTATAGGTGTGATAAGTAGTAGAGAGCTTGAGGGGTACACATAACTCTTTCAATATTTGCTCAAACACATTGGATGTACTGTATATTTGGTCATTAGGTAAATCAAACATATTAAAAACCCTGTCAGTTCCTTTAGCACTAGTTTAGCTTTAAAGTACTTCATTGTCTGGTTGTGGTGCATGAAGCCAATGCTGATGAACTGTCTAACCTATCTGCTCACTTTTCATCTGTATTCCCTTCATAGTAACTCATGCCTAATAACAAATGTTTTGGATACTGTTTTTATTTCCCATTCAGATACTGTTTAGTGTGAAATCTCAGTTCACTCTGAGCCCATTTGAGCTGTCAGGACATCCTCTTTAAAGGTGACAGGGAGGAGTTGCAATGCTTAAATAAAATATATAATTAACTAACTAACTAATTCATTCATTCATTTTTGTGATATGGTCTCTACTAATGAGCTTATGACCTGAATCAAGTCACCTAAATAAGGTGTGTTCAATTAGGGAGAGAGACAATAGTGTGCTGTTGGAGAGGCTCCAGGATCAGTTTTGTGCATCACTAAGCTTGCAAGCTACAGACAGTAAATGTAAAATCTGTCCCGAGGTAACTGTAATGTGACATGTTCTTTCATTAACATCTTTCCATTGTTGAAACACAACATTTCCCCCATCTCCCAGTAAAACTTGATCTTATGAGTTTTCTGAATAGGTTTAAAATTCAAAAACGTTTAGTTAAAAACTATTTGAAGAATTTGTAGTATGATAAAAAAATCTACCTAAATATCTACCTAAATATCGCCCCTAAACTGTAGTATCATTTTGCTTTCTTATGATACTGTGTTAGACTCTTTTGAGGCCAATCAGCACCTTTAACTGGACCAAGCTGTTAAAACTCTCCAGAGAGTTTATTAGCACTTGGAAGGAAAAAAAAATCTGTCATCAGTAATGATGTCTCATTAAACATATGTTTGAAGCCTAGCAATTAAAGGTGTTAAATGCACAGATAAGAAATAAACTTGTGATGATGCAACCAGAGCTATTGTAGCTTGTATCCATTACATCCAGGTTACTCATCATTACCCTAAACAATTGTACTGCTTTTGTAGAAAACATACACTAGATTAATACTTTTGTTTTGTGCAATAAAAAAGTCTGCTTCATGATAAACCTAATCAATGAAATCAGTGAAACTAATCAATTATTAATGCAGGGTCAATTTTAACATTTACCCACTTATATAATAAATAGATAATAACATAT